GTAAAAGACCCATTGATGGGTCTGTTAAGGGCGAGTACTCAGTAATGAGCCACGTCGCAGGAAAATGCCAAAAACTCGGCATTTGTTCCATGACCACCTTTGAAGTGTGTATGTGCTTGAATGCTGCTAGCCTATGTCACAACAGGGGTTGGCGTTCTATGGAAGCTTAGCTATTAGAATTTTTGTGCTGTGGCCCATCATTGGGGACCGGTCCATCACTGGGTCTTTTACCCTATATGTATTTCCCATCGGGTAAAGAGTTACAGTGCATTTCCCATTGGGAAAATACTTTTCGGACACCCTGTAAGGGGAGGATCAATAACTGGGTCAGAAGAGCAAAGTGGGAAATCGCCCTTTCGCAACGGGGTCTGCTCGGAATACAGGCGTTGCCTAAAGGGGTTGACCAGGGTTTCTTAGCCTGGGATTCGTTAGTCCCTAGGCTCTAGGGACTCAGAAGCTTTGGAGATTCCTGAGAAGTCCGGAATTTGCGAGTCCCATTCTTACGTTTCCATTGACAGATGTGGAAACAGAAAAAAAAGCAAACGTAAAATGAGCGTCTTCTTGCATCGCATACTTTCGGGACTCTCGTGGATAAATGGTTGATTTGGGTCCAGGTCAACACCGTGTCGCTTGCCATAAATAATAATGTGGCACCAATTTGGATAAGCGATGTTGGCCCTTCGTCCGAGCGTTCGATCGACCAATATTGGTACAGCATGGGATAATTCAATTGGATTACGGGGCTGTTCCGATATCGATGCTGCATCAAATCATCATTAATTCGATTTCTATTATGGTACTTTGACTCTCTAATTCTAACAACTCTCTCTCAATTTTAGAGCCTATGTGCCCCAAATTGCACCAATAGAAAAATGGAACATGAACTTGGGCAGCGACAGCAGCATTCCCAAATGCAGCTTGAGAAAAAAAAAAGAGAGAAAATGTGCGCTGTGCGCACAAATTCTTCGAGTAGCAAAAATGATTAGGCCTATCGACGACGAAATACTTGGCTCTGGGTGATAGATACTACAGCATCTCGCGCCCTGATCCTACATCGCATCGATGCTGATTTCATCTCCCTGCGCCCATCACTAGACTAGAGATTTTGAGACTGTAGGGCGCGCCCCCTAGGGGCCACAAGAGGATGGCAGGGGGAATGGAGTGTAGGGGCAGAGGGGAGGGGAGGGGAGGGGAAGGCGACACGAAGAATCAAGAGTAACGTTATTTCAAGCAACAATGATGCGGACGAAGGAGAAGAAGGAACAAGTACAGGACCAAAGAAACCGGATATGCTCTCCCAAGTTACCGTTCTCCCTTCCCCCCCCCCGCTCGCTACTTGGAGCGTTGGGACGCGATGAAGTGGCCTATTTTTAAGGGGAGACGAAGAACAGAAATGTTGCAAACCGCTGAGGTGGACTGAGAGCATCACCCAGAATTTCCCGATGTTGATCAGATGCTGTGCGTCACGTGCAGGACCCGTGAAAACACTATTGGACTGTACGGGGTGGCCCATCGGTCTCGATCGGTTCAAAATAAGTAGAGGATGGTTAGGGTTCATGTAATTACTTATTTAACTGATTTAATTAATAGTGAAACAATAGGTGGAATTGACTTGCATATTTGCATATTTCGAATTCAATTGTGTCTGCTAGGGCGCCTGGTCGACACAGTACCGTTCGGTTCATCTAAACCGATTGCGACTTATGGGTCACTCTGTAGAAATTGCCTGCTTTCAATGTATACCAAGTATCAAAGCACACAAAGAAGTTATTGACGTGCCCTCGGCTCATGTGAAGACTGGCCTTTGGAGAAATCGGATCGGCAACCGCCACTGCCTTCCTTTTTTCCTTTTCTTTGTCCGGATTTGGTATGTAATGGAGGGGAAGTAATGGCCCGATAAGACTTCCAATTTGGAGCATGCCGTCAGGCTTTGCGTTGCTGGAAACGCTTGAAAATGCACAATCGGGAGAGTTCAGTGATGCTCACGCATTTCTGACAAATACATGACTTTAACGTAAAGGCATCGATTTGTCTGAATCTGGGGCAAGGGAAGCGGTCGTTGCGCAAGTCGAAATTTCATCAAACGTGCAGAGGACAGCTGTCCAAGAATCCGAACTGCCAAAGTACCGCACGTAAACGCGGAAGCTCTCGTCATGCAGAGCAGGAATCTCGACTGTAAGTGTAAATTAGCGATGGGACCTTGCGCCTCTTCGGCGTGAGGAGACTCGGGAAGCGACGGCGCGAATGCCAGACCAGGCGTTCCCCGTGTCTTTTCCTCATCGATTTTTCCCCTTCCCTCCTTCCCCTCCCTCTTCCTCCGCATGGTGCGATGGATCGCCGCTGCCTCTGAGCGCCAGGGGAGGCGAGTCTGCTCTCAAGGCTATCCGATCGCGCAGCGTCGTCGTTCCTCGTCGACAGCATCCAGGTGAGTTCCCCAATTTTTTTTTTTCGGATCCCGGTATTCTTTTATTCTTGATCCAATCTGCGAATTCGGAGCGTGCTGTCAGCTGACATCCAGCTGATGACTTCAGCGCAGGTGTAGAAAATCGAGCGCACGGAAGCTCAAGCTTTTCTATTCTCTGCTTTTTGCGCCGTTCGTGGGAAAGCCGTGGGAGAAAAGAAATTAAAGATTTGGCACAGGGCCACGTTCACAGGGCCTATCTTGATGGCAAACAGGGGAAAACGAGCCTCGCCAAAAATCTTGGCAGCTGACTACAGCCGTGCTCTCTTCGATGCGGACGTGAGGGAAGTAGCGGGTCTGTGTTATTGCACTGTCCGGATTCTCCTTGACCTTTCGTCCACGGCGTGAAAGTCAACAACGATCAGACGATAACGTTGAAGGCTCTCGTCAGCATTGTCGAGCGGGCCCGATTATTTAAAATTCTGGAGAGCAATGTTTACACTATTTTTTTTTTGTAGAAGCGATCTATGGGTACCTGTTTACATCCTTGTCATGCAATCGGCAAACGCGAAGGGCATAAAATTAAGCTACCTGACGGTTGAAGGTTCCGTCGTTGCGCAGACAGTGGGAGTGTCTGGGACGGGGAATCGACGACACGACACAGACCCTTAACGTCGTAGATTCCCAAGACCGGTTTTTGTGGATGCGAGAGAGAGAGGACGGTCCATCGCAAAGATTGCCCTTCTCCCCGCTTCTCCCTCCTTTTCCCATCCGACTCTCCCAGCCGTCGGCGGTGCGCTTCCTTGGCGTCACGTTCTCTCGCTTTCGCAGGTCCTAGGCCGGAGAGCTCCCTGCAATCATGGTGAAGTTGGACAACTTCGTCGAGGTCGTGAAACTCAAAAACTCTTCCGCGTGAGTCATCCTGGCTTTCGTTCCTTGCGAGAGATTTTCAGGTCGGGGAGGAAGAGGAGCAATCGAATGTCCTTCCATTGCAGGTTTCGGGAGGCCTTGCCGAGCAAGTTCCTGAGTCGATACGTTCCCAATGCTTTGCTTCCGGAAAAAACCATCGCCATCGATGGAAAATTTTACACGCTTCCTAAAAAGGCAAGTAATCGAGCCCTTCACGTTCGGTCTCCCTCTTTCCGAGTGTTGAAAAGTTCTTTTTGGTGCACCAGAACGAATTAATACGGGCTGGGCATGCGACAGGCACTGAGGAAAGTGCAGGGAGAGATAGAGATGCTGCCATATAAAGGGTGACCCTGAAGTCCTGTTGAGTTCCTCAGTCGGCGCTTGCGGCGTACATACAGAACGAAAGACCCCTTCCAGTTCCAGTGAAAAGGCCATTGGGTTCGTATCCGGTAGATCTTTCTCGCGAACCCCCGAGTCCTTGAAGGAGAAAGTGCTCCCTGTTTTTATTCGCCGTTGGCCCTGGAAGATAGGGAAGGTATGCGAGAAGCCAAACGCATGCGCCCCACGCCCCCCTCCAAACCCCCCGTCTCCGCTTGGATTTATGGCGCGATGCGGAGCTGAAGGTCGTGTGCGACCGTTTCACCCTTGACAGAATGTAAACAATACGGCGTCCATGGCGCAGAAATCAGGCGCCGTGCAGCAGTGGCCCATTTATTGATTTGCGCCGATCTCGTGGGCCATCGTCGCGAGAAGAGGTCGATATTATAGTAGACAAGCTAACGAAGGAAGGCGCAACACCAGCAATCGAGATAGCTCGTTGGGCTAGAATCTAACCACGACATGGATTTTCGAAGAGAAAGGGGAGGACGGAGAGCGGTGGAACGATCCAACACACCTTAGCTACGGCCACCCTGGGCATTCGTACGGAGTCTTTTTTTTTTGTTTTGGTTGAAATCGGCCGGTGTGTCTTTCCTGTATCACCGGCGTTATCATTAACATTTATCGGTGAAAACAGTCTGACCAATTGTTTCGATGGCACGGAATTATAAAATAGTCTTCCTTCACTCATCGTTGGCCTCACTTCTTTGCCTACTGGGGAATGCCAAATCGATTTGCAACTTCGCACCCAGCCATGCAGGTCCTCGTTTTGGCAGAATGCGCAATCTGCACGAGAGTAGAACCCCGAGGATCTAACTTTGCCGACAACGGGCTGGGAAGCATTCTGACCCTCGGCTCAAGCAGCTTCACGGCCTCATTATGAAGAGATGCAAAAGTTTATTTCGGCACCAGGGGACATTTACGAAGAACCTCATTGCGCCACGCTCGCTTACACGCTAAGACAAGCTCGACGCGAATGAAAAGTGTATATTATCCCATCTCCGATCTTGAGCGCTTCTTTACGTCGGACTTCATTGAAGGCTACTCAAGGCTACTTTGCATTTCACTCAAGACCGATTCATGAATACCGTGTCATTTCAACCCCATACCCAAGCCTATGGGTTTGATCCCACGGTAAAGCAGCCCAAATTTAGCTTCACATTTATCAACTGACCACTTGTACCACTCTTTCTAGACGCTCAGCCCATTCAAGAACAAAACGTCCAGAGCCGCACGACCGAATGGGCTGAATTCGGGACGTGGAAAGCTTTGTGAGGTGATATATATTTAATCTACTTTTTACTCGAACCGTATGTTGGTCAGCTTATCCCTCAACTTTTCGGTTGTATTTAATGGGGTCCACGACGTATTCATCCGTCTGAGTACACTGTTTGATCATAGTTGCGATTTCCTGCCGCTCCTTTTTTACCCAAGCTCCCGTTTCCCCCCTGCCTGAACGGTGAAATTTGACATTTCATTTCCTTTTCTTTGCCTTTTGGTCGAAAGGGAATTCCTAACAATTAAAATCATTCGTCGTGTTTCAAAATGCAGATCAAAAGCTTCGTGGAGAAATATGCGACGATGTGCGACCCTGAAAGCATCCACGTGTGCGACGGGTCGGACGAAGAATACGACAGCCTCATCCGACTCATGCACGAAGCGGGCACCTTGGAACCACTATGGAAATACGAAAACTGGTCTGAGACTTTCACCTTTCCTCCCTCTCTCGGGGACGCGGCTTTGACGAATGGGAGGCAGGGAGCCTGAAAGGAGCCTTTTGTCGCTTGTCGAGTGCAGCTGGCTGGCGAGAACGGACCCCGCGGATGTGGCGAGGGTGGAGAGCAAAACTTTCATCTCCACCCCCTTGAGGAGAGACGCTGCCCCCTGCACGAAGAAGGGCCATCAGATGATGCTGGGGAAATGGATGGCCTTGCCCCAGCTCGAGGACGAAGTCCTGAGCCGCTTTCCGGGGTGCATGCAAGGTGCTCCGCACACCTTTCATCGCTTCTACGCTTAGTTTTACTTCGGTAGCGTTTTTTTTTTATTATCTACTGAGAGAGACGATCAAGATATCAGCACGAATATTTTCGCAGGGGAATGAAGGCGTAGTCTTGGCGGAAATGCTAATAAATTTACAATAAATTATTTTCCAGTATTGAACAATAATCCAGCTCAGATATGATGACATGAAGATATTGACAATGTACTTGAAGTGCCAATAACTTTTGCACCAGTAATTGAGCAATAATACATAGGGATGAGTAAATTGAATATTAAGGGTGGATTTTTGAACAGAGCACTATCCGATAATGCAGCTTTATTTACCGGATTTATATTGCATTTTCTCTGAAATAAAGCTGCATGGATAGTGCTCTGTTCAAAAATCCACCCCAAAGCTTTTGGTCATGATTATTCTCCCATTATTATACCCTTACCCTAGCAAGAAAGCTCGCTCGACATCGCAAAATGGTAGTTTTTCATGACGAATTTATCGATTGAAAAGAGGCAGTTTTCCAAATACACTGAAAATTGTCAGAACGACACCCACCTACAAAGTCACGAAATTATGAAAGCGATTATTTTTGTCATTACAGGCCGGTTTCTATATTGCGAATACATGACGCAATATTTAAAACATTAGTCTACCAAAGAAGACAGCTTCTTGAAGGGTTGCATTTCGTGCGAAACGGCACGTTTCCTTAGAAGGTAAGAGCACAATCAATACCTAATTTTCATGTCATTAGAAAAATTCAATCGACAATGAACAAAAATTATGATTGTGCAAGCATCGTGGCATTCGACGCCATTCCACATAAAGAACTCCTAGCAAAACCTTATTGTATGGTGTTTAGAGGTTTCACGGGTGGTTCCAAAGTTATTTTACTGGAAGGATTTGTAAAGTTGGGAGCAACCAAAAGTTCGAAGTTCGATACAATATTCAAAAGCCACAGAGCCCAACGCTGGCACCCTTATTATTTCTAATCGACATTTGCAACGTATTCAATGTGCTTCTTATTGGTGACGTATGACACGTTTTCTGCTACGATGGCACAGGAAGAATAATCAATCGATGAATTCTTAATCATCCCATGACCGTTCTGAAAACGGATCAGCAAGATTCCCCGATTCCGTTCCAGGAAAGACGATGTTCGTGATCCCGTTCAGCATGGGTCCGATCGGGTCCCCGTTGGCCAAGTACGGCGTGGAACTGACGGATTCCCCCTACGTGGTGGCATCCATGCGAGTCATGACCCGAATGGGCCAAGCTGTGATCGATGCCATCGAAGACGACGACTTCGTTCGTTGCCTCCATTCCGTGGGGGTCCCCGAGGGGAAGCCGTGCCGAGTCTCCGCGTGGCCCTGCGACCCCGAGAGGACCATGATCGCCCACGTCCCCCATCGCAACGAAATCATCTCCTTCGGCTCCGGATACGGGGGGAATTCCCTCCTCGGCAAGAAGTGCTTCGCACTTCGGATCGGCTCCGTCATAGCCCAGAGGGAAGGCTGGCTCGCCGAGCATATGTTGGTGAGGATTTCCCTCCCGCCTCCCTTTTATCCTCGGCCTTCGCAGGTTTAATAGAGACTCTAAGATGTTGTTGTCCTTGTCTGTCAAGGTAGATTAATGCGACATCCTTGTCCAACTCGTTCTCGTGTAATGCATGAGTAGAAGATTTAAAAAAAGGAAAGCTGATCCACAAGACAAGGGTTTTATTTTGTTTTGTTTTGATTGTTGTTCATAATCAATCACGAGACGCTCCTGCGCACCGCATGCAATATATATTTAGCATAAACACGTGCCATTCTTTGAAAACATTTTTTTTTTCAGATCTTGGGCATCACGAACCCAGCGGGACAGAAGCGCTACATAGCAGCAGCTTTCCCCAGTGCGTGCGGAAAGACGAATTTGGCAATGTTGGAGCCGGCGGTGCCGGGCTACAAGATAGAATGCGTAGGAGACGACATTGCCTGGATGAAATTCGACGCCCAGGGCGTCCTTCGAGCAATCAATCCGGAGAATGGGTTCTTTGGTGTTGCACCAGGTACGATATCGTTCCTTGATCTCCCTTTAGGCCCTTAAGGGGGAAAGTATGGTTTCCTGCTGCCTCGGCATTGTTTTAGATGGTCTTTGAAAAGCGTATGGTGGATCTCATGAATAAGATATTCATTCCTTCTCAGGGACATCTATGAGTACGAATCCCAACGCCATGAAAACGATCATGACTAACACGATTTACACGAATGTGGCGAAAACGAGCGACGGTGGAGTCTACTGGGAGGGTCTTGAGGACGAAACTCCTCCGGACGTGGAGATCACTTCTTGGTTGGGGGAGAAATGGACTAAGGATTCTGGGAAGCCTGCCGCTCATCCTAATTCCAGGTAAAAGAAACACTCGATGCGTAAGAAAACTGCGGCTAGGCTTCAACCTTCGTCTGGGGCCTCACGAGACTGAAATAAATCAGGTTCTGCACACCGGCTGCCCAGTGCCCGATCATCGATCCCTGCTGGGAGTCTCCAGAGGGCGTACCCATCGACGCGATCCTCTTCGGCGGTCGCCGACCCGAACCCGGGGGGCTGCCATTGGTGGTGGAGGCCTTCAACTGGAGCCACGGCGTTTTCATGGGGGCAGCCATGAGATCTGAAGCCACAGCGGCGGCAGAATTCAAGGGCAAGGTCATCATGCACGACCCTTTCGCCATGAGACCGTTCTTCGGATACAACTTCGGAGACTATCTGGCCCATTGGCTTGGGATGAAGGACAGGGAGGTGAAACTCCCCCTCATCTTTCATGTCAATTGGTTCCGAAAGGGGGCTGATGTGAGCAAATCCCTTCGTCGACAATTCTGGAGGATAGAGTATGAGGTTTTCAGACACGAACACTGTGGTCCTCTTTGCAGGGAAAATTTATCTGGCCTGGGTACGGAGAAAATATCCGAGTCTTGGATTGGGTTATGAAGAGAATCGAGCGCGAGGACTGTGCAGTGGCAACTCCGATTGGTAACATCCCAAAGCCAGGCACCATTAATCTCGACGGATTGAAGGACAAGCCAGACATGGGTTCTTTGTTCGACATCTCCAAAGAGTTCTGGCTCAAGGAGGCAAGTCTTAAATTACGTTAGATGTTTTCTGCCTAGAAATTTCACGCCAAAAGATTTATTTCGTTTGAGAATGCCCAGCCTATCATGTTGATATGATTTTTTCCTCACAGTGCGATAGTATCGAGACCTACTTCAACGATCAGGTCGGAGAAGACCTGCCAGCAGGAATCGCAGAGGAGCTGAAACAACTTCGCGAGAGGGTGCAAAAAATGAGCGTTTGAAGTTTACGTCTCATCACCCCCGTCTTCAGATTCCCATATAGAAAACCACGTGGCATATTCCCCTTTCATCTTTTGTCCAGACGTTCTTGGATTGTACGAGATTGTGATCTCACCTTGATGTGTCAGTGGCATTTGGATCGCTTCCCTCTTGGTTGCAACTCACATAGAAGCACATGGAAATGTAGAACCTATTCTGTATTTTGCATTTCATTTATCCCCATCCTTATTTGTAACAGGGATTGCACAGAATGATCTCTCAAAATCAGCCGCGTAGCGTCGGGGGGAGGGGGCATATGTTCCCCACTTAAAAAAAAGAAGCAAATGTAAGAAGGGAAAGACGCATGATATGCACGAGAAATGTCCAAGTTTCTGTGCCTCCCTAAGTTTTCCATCCACACTACGCCTATGCTCAAAATCATGAAGTACTTCAAATAAGTGATTCAATAAGTTCTGTGGCGGATTCACATGATTGTGCATCCCTGGCAGAATGCAACCATTGATAAGAGTAGATAGTGATCAGTAAAACTTTGCAGAAGACACACACTTTTTTTTAAATAGAGAAAACTGCATAAAAGCATTGAAAATTGGACTCTGATTACAAACATGACAGAAGTGTGCAGTAGATATGAGCATTTGCAGCTCAATACATATATTGCTTCCGTGAGGAGCATCGAATAGCTGTCTGATTTGAAGTCTTCTAAGTCCAAAATGAATCATGCAAATGTAGAATGGATCCCATTTATTTCAGTGGTCTTGGTAACAAAAATCTCGATTTAAGCGTAACAATAGGAAATAAACCACACAGAGCTGTATGAACTCAATGAGGGAGAGTACAAGAGGTCAAGGAATGAACAAAATGATATCAGCCATCAAGTAAACAACATAACCTCAAGCACAAAAATAAATCAAATGCTCATCTTCAATCATCAAATGCAAAATTGCCAAGAACCCTTTGGAGACTGCATCACACAGATACTTCCTTGGATATATATTTAAAATGCCAGTTTCATGCTATCTGAAGATAAAAACATCGAATTGCTAATGGAAACTTGCAAAACACTCTGATCTATGAATACCTACTATATATTGTAAGGGTAAAAGGATGGAATCAACATATCAGGAGGAATATTCTTTTGTGAAAAATCTTCCAACACTTCAGTCTGAATAATCTGAATTCACCATTATAACAGAAATACTGTACAAGCAGAGGGTTTTCCTCAAAATACCAGCCATGACCAGAGCAAGATTTCTGTGATATTAAGTCCCTATCACAGACATAATAAGAAATAAATCTCTGAAGAGGAGAAGTGCCATAAAAATTTTTGATTTCATGGCATCGATGTACTCATGATTCCACAAAATTAACTGGAGTCCAGTTACTTAAATGACAATCAGTGGACTTCTGCTGCATAAGACATTATGCATCAACATCAATTTAGAGACATTCAGCAATGGACACTGCTGAAGAACTCCACTGTGGAACAGTGACTTTCAGTTGAGAGTTCTCAAGATAAAACACACAGGAAACCCTTAGAAAGTCACAGTAGTGGCTGGAGTTTAGTGAAAATGAACAAATTTACTTTTGAATATCTGTAGAGCACTCTGTGACAACTTGTAGATTCAAGTAAAGGAGTTTGAATTCAATAATTTGTGAAAAGAGCAAATATGGAAGAATAGCAGGAGGCAAAATGCTCAGAACCTATATATATTTACTAAGTATTAACCAGAGCTGTTAACTGCGACAAGAGCATGTTAATTTGGCATAATTAATGCAGCTAAGTGGAAAGAATGGAAATGATTAAGCCACTCAGCTCAAGCAGTCACTCATACAACCCACAATTCAAAACTACAGAGTTTAAAAGCAGACATTCACTATATTAGTTTTAAACATAACCACCAGCTTGCTATGCTCCATTTTCAGAATCAACACTGATCCAGACAGAAAATGAAATTTATGGATTTATAGAACACCAGTTCAAGATGCAAAAATTGTTTGTCTTGTCATAGTAAAATAGACAGTGGATTTCAGATACATCAACAAGGTGCCCCAAAAGTCCAGACCCATATGAACAATTCATGAAATAACATGGCCAGAATAGATGGTAGGGAGCAGTTGATCATGTTTGCAGTCAGTGGATCAGTTGAATCATGAACCTGCAAAATGGTCCTTACATTCAATATAATTGATGCCACTTGACTTCTCTCTGTGGGGCCATCTTACAGCAATGATGTTTTCTGTAAGAATACACAATCTGGAACATTTGAACCATTGTGTTTCTGAGGTCTCAAGCCAAATGCTAAAAGATGTCCTTCAGGACAGTCAGGAGCATCAAGAACACCTAAACCTGTATCTAGATAAGGAGGGGGAACACATCAAGCACATTTAATTCAAGCTAAAACTATAAATCCTGAGTCCAGACTTTTAGTACACCTTGTAATTAAGGTCATCACTCAACTAACTCCTCTAGGACATGGGAGTTTGAAGTGGGAAGACCCCATGCAGGCAAATCATAGGAATAATTTCCACGGCATTATACAATATGAAAACACGTATAAAGGCAGGATATCAAAATACTTTGGGAAGATAACACTGACTATAACATGGTAACTTCAGTCATAGACAAGACATAGAAAAATAACAAACCACAATGGCACCGATTTAAGAGAGTGAAATCCCCCTCATCTCCTTGGTGAGCAAAGGGAAGACTAGTCTGGGAATGTTTGACAACTTTGGATAACTGAAATCATGCTCTTGCAAAAAGTATACCACTGGCAAAGGTAGCAGAATACTGGTTGGTAATGAAAGCAATGAGTCTTGAAATTCATTCATGTCACTGAATTTGTTAAATCAACAATATAAAACAATGACCTAACAATGAGAAAAAGAGTATTTTGAATGTGATAAACATTGTAGTGACTTAGCTAGATAATTACATCTCTGCAAATTGAAAAATTCTCCCACTCTCTAGTTTGGCCACCTAAACATGAGCATAAAATCAAAATCATGATCAAACCAGACAAGCCTGAAGTAAAAAATAACCCACTGGGAACAGAGTGTTCCAAAACACTTTTACCATTTAGGTAGTTATGGAGTGCTGAGTGACAAAGGACAGGAAATACCAGGTGTTGGACCAATTTGACAATGCAGAAGCTGATGCAAGTAAATAAATAATGCATTGTGATGAGCAGTGGTGGCAATGGTGATGTGATCATGGCACCTGACTTATACGTGTATTCTTCTCATGCAAAGTCATATTGGTCCAACAGCTAATTTTCTCTCTATTCATCACTTTATGTGCATCCCAAATCCATCCAGGCAAAAGAGTGACATTTGGAAAATCCTGTACACCATGACAAATTTTTGTGGCTTTTCATCATTCCTCATAGAAATAATTTCAGCATAGTGTGGTAGGATCATGACTTGGACTATAATGTTGGAATAAATCTGTCACTACTATGGAACAACTTCTTCAAGATAGAAAGTAGACAATCAAGCAGGTCAATTTATAGTATTCCTGGCCTTAAAGGACAGATCTCTTTGCTATTGGTTCAGAGTTGGGCAAGTAACTTTTAATGGTTGGTTGCATATGATAAGATGGCAAGACTTCTGCATGAGGTCCCACAGGACACTTAAGTCAACTAAGGCAATGACATGTTAGGCCATCCACACACTAGAGATGCAAGAAATCTGCAACATGGGCCATGGCAAGCTGCCACACACTGGGAGGCATCCATGAGACAAGAAAAGGTATTTAGATAATTTTTGCACAGAAAGGATCCACAAGGGGTTGCCCTTTGCCATGCTAAATCTCCATCCAATTATGTCTACCTGTTAATAGCATGTTGCCAACCTGCTGCCAAGGGAATTCAACTCAAATTCCATAAACCTCAGTATTTGCATGGATCACCATGCAAGAAAAAAAACTTTTGATGCTTCATTGTAAAAGACATGCTGGAAAATGTCACATTGTATGTATCTCCAGTAAGTGGCAGTCAATTATATCTATTCCTGTTCAATGTAATGCAATCAAGGGCAAGTCTCTGTTGTGTGGCTGGCCTCACTGATCAACAATCACCGTTAATGAAGTATTCTGCCACCAATGCCACGAGGTTCGGTATACTGATAACATTCAAGGCATGACCTGCTGCATGACTACTTCTTGGCCAAAGAAAGGGACATGTGGTATTTCAGGCCTGAGCATCACCTCCCCATCAGGAACAGCCAGTTTCCTGCATCGCCCATACAATGTAGAATAGGGAACATTGAAATGCAGTGCTGCCTGGTTGATGCTCATCTCACCTGCCTTGACAACATCTATGGCTTCACTTAAGTTGTCCTCTGACCAATTGACCTGCTCTTTACTCTTCAGTTCAATACCTTCTTTTTTGCACTTTCCATATAAGGTACCACTAGGAATACCAAACTCTGAGGCTGCTTTCATGACAGACATCCCTGAACGAATAGCCTCAAAAGCCTTCTGGAGGTCTTCTTTTGTCCAATTAGGAATAGATGAGTTGAAAGGGGCTGCAAGCTTGATCCCTTCTTTTTTTGCGATTTTGTACAAGGTGCTACTAGGAATACCATATTCTTTGGATGCTTTGTTTGCAGAAATGGAGCCATTGCGCATGGCTTCAAGAGCATGGAGGAGATCACCTTCTGACCAGGTTTTTCCAGCAGGGTCTTTCTTTGTGGTCTCGATGCCAGAACGCTGAGCCCTTTGCCAGAGGGTTGTGGACGGAATGCCAAAAGTCTGTGAGGCACGAGTCAGAGACATCAACTTGGTCTTCAGGGCATCAAGGGCTGCTTCCATGTCTTGCTCAGTCCATGTCTTCAGCAATGACTTAGAATTGGAATCATCACCATCCATGTAAGGTTCAGGACCTGAAATATTCATGAGCAGCTCTACCACATGAAATAAAAGTAATTAAAAAGGAGCATTGCAAGCACATAATAAAACATAAAACATGGATTCACCAAATTAAAAAGGGAAATAAATATGCTTCCACAATCACAAGACTTATATCCAGCAGCATGGAATACATTGACAAGCCAGGAGATTTTAAATGAAGATAAAAAAAAGGGAGTTTGAGCAGCAAAGAAAATATGTCCATCTTCTCCTAATTTTAGTACCAATGAAAGTATTCAAATATATTTAAATTATTTAATTATTAATAAAATTTAACCAAAATAAATTATTCACTATTCAATATAAGTAATGATTTGCTATAACATTGACACTCATTTCTTTCTCATATAGAGAAGTTAATGTCTGTAATACAAAAAGATACCCATTGAGATCTTCACACCACATCACACATTATGGTGGTCTGAAGGAAAAAAGATATGCTTCTATGGGGCTGTGATGATGTTTCGGTTCACAAACAATTAATAAATATTTATGAGGATGATAGTATTAGCCAGTATGGTTGATTCTATAAGATCAATCAATAATAAGACCAAATCAATAATAAATGTAACCCTGATTTTTTTTAATTTCTCATTGAATTTCAATCATTTTAATTTTTAAGAGATAATTTAAATGTAAAATTTTCTTTTAAGTGGAGCCTATCTTGGAGGACGTTCAAGTATTACATATTTCCTGGTTTTGATCTCTTTCTAATCCCCATTATAACTCATAACATTTGGCCAGACACCTCTCTCCCCTTTAAGTATGACATATTACTTCCACTTCTTCACTTGGGTTGCATAGAAGGTATGCCATTTTGACAGAGTATGAATAATATACACCAGTGGGTAAAATAATTGAACACTTGGGGGAAAAAAAAATTCCATTATGGTCCCTTGAAACCTCCTCTTCCCCTTGTAATGTTGCAAAAAGCTGGGAGGATTCCCTCCCCATCTCCAATTCTGGCATATAATACTTGAATGCAGCCATAACAATATGTTGAGCAATGAAAATACTTGTCTTCTTTTTCTATCCCAGTAATTGCTATGTGCCCAACTATGGATTAATTGGACACAACTATGCTTAGTGACAGTACCAATATTCCAATGCTTTTGTGACATAATTCCATTCTAAAATTACTCCCTTTGCTAGATATGGAGAGAAACTTTGAGCTAAACCCTTTTGCATTTTTTCCTAGTCAACTGAAAAAGTCCAGGAGGAATCAATGAAAGTGTGTAGTTAATTAGTAAGATTTAAAAAAAACTGACATGAACACAATTGTATCACCTGCATCTGGTCGCTGAAGGTTGGGTGATGTATGGACTAAGTTCAACAATTCTGGAGAGACAGATGAACCATAGAAGTCATCAGAAACCTGGTGGGGGGGAAAAAGAAGCTCATACAGGATGTACTCTTGTATGCTTAAATACAAAAGGGTGCTAAGGAAAGTAAGGAAACCACTACTCCAGGCACATAAAATAGTGACCACACTAGTTACAATTCTGAAATAGAAAAAAATTACAGACTAATTCTTTGTTACAATCATTAGATTAATTTTAGAAGAGCAAACCTTTTGAAAAAAAAAGCAGATAATGGTCCTGGACAGGCAGATTCCTGAGAAAAATAATAAAAAAAAGGTTATTTCTTCAGTATAAGATAATTTAAGAAAGAATGAGTACATATCTGGCAAGGAATATTAACAGGTGCAGTAAAGGATCTAAAAGCTTTGCACTCAACCACATTTCTCTGATAGCATTGCTGTACAAGTATACTTTCCTAGAACAATAGTGGAGTGAGATCATTTCTTTCCTCAAGTGAAATCTGGTAATGTGATCTAAACTTTCAAAATTTACATTTTTCATTCTAAAAGTATCAAAGCCTACCTGTTGCTCCCATGTGGGGATAGATATGAATACCTGTTTGATACAACTACAGAATTTCATACCCTGATGTGCTTTGAGAATCACATCCTCTTACTGGGAGTAAGGAAAAACAAACATTATGCTTGTAGTATGAAAAATTTTCTATCTGCAATGCAAGAACGGAAAAGAAAAGAAGAAATGTTACATATTATTTGTAAATATAGTATACAGTTCTTATATTTATACATGACTTGATTAGTCAGTTTCAATTTAATGAATTAGCCAGCTACTTGACAAATGTAATATCAGTACCTGTAAAAATTACAATGTGATGATTCAATGGCAACCTTGACATTCTCAGGGTCAGCTAATTTACTGATGCCAAATAATATATATAGCACAGCAGGAAGTCACAATAAAACTTAAAAAACCTCTAATCTCACAATCAACATGATTTCCACAATTTTTCTTATACCTCCATTTGTGCTGCCTGAGGATTCATAGTTGAAGCATGTTCATTCCTGTCATCTTCCTGGCCATCTGTCTGGTTGTTGCACGTGGTCTCATCTTTTGAGAGTGTGGGTCCTACAGAGGCAGACCCATTGACATATATTTCTTCTCTCTCTTTTTCTTCTTCAGTTGTAACATTCAACTCTCCATTCATGACTCCACTTGGCACTTGAGTATCGTTATTACTCTCAGGCTGGCCCTTCCCATTGCTTGTGGATGTTTCATTTGTGCTTTTTATTGCACTGCCATCTCCAAGAATCTTGACTCTGGGGATCATATATCTGGACTGTACAGGGAGCTTTGGTGGCACTGGCTGCACCTTATTATAGGGATGGTATTTATTGATGCCTCTGCTTCCATTGAAGTTGGTCTGTGGTGTCTGCTCCACTGATACATAGGAGGATGTCCCATTGGGATCTGTAACCTCTCTAAATCCCTTGATCTGAAGTAAGTCAGCAATTTCAAGGATCTTGTCCAGATGCTCCTGGACCACATCTATTTCTCCTTTGTACATGAAATCAATGATGTACTTCAAATCAGCAAATCTGATATTGCTGGGCATGATCATGATAGGATGTTGGCATGGATTTTGTGCCAGAATCTTCTGGAAGTAAGGAGAGCATGCTGAAAGTACCACCTTATGTGCCTTGATTGTTTCTCCTTCACAAGCCAGAGTCACATCCACAAAAGTTTCATTCCTCAATAGATATTCAAATGATTGTATGATACTGTTTTTGTAATTATTCCATCGCACGTTGTACTGATTACCATCTGCCTTTCCATGAGGGGCATTTTTGTAAGGAGGAGGTGGAGGAGCTGGCCGCATCTGAAAGCCATTCATTGTCACTCTTCACAACTGCTCTCTTGCAGCAAAGGATAATTGTATCTCCTTTTCATTTCTGTAATATGTCAGCATATAAAAGGAACAAAATAATTGCCAGAGAAGACAAAAGCATTACTTTAACTTCAGGAACCAGTATAATCTATAAAGATGCTGGTTATTGAGTATCATATCTAATGAATAGGCTGTGGTAGTCCACAAATAAACCCTTCTTCCCACAGATTGCAACTTCTTATGCTGCCATCAAGTCAGATTTCATATCAATGGAGAACCATCTTTGTCTAGTTATCCAGGTAGAGGCCAATTTTTATTATAATCATCATTGAATAGGATGAAAAGCAATCAAATCAAAAGGGAATATACCAGCCAGACTGCAGAGAATTTTTACTTTAAAAAGATTAGTGTTATTAATATCCATTCCATGAAAAAGACCCAAGGTTTATTGCAGGCTATATGGAAAACAAGCAGCGAAAATTAAAAAAACTATGGCAGAACTATTGTCTTCAACTACTTCAGAATTAATTCCATTCCTCTCATATCTTTCAGATAAAATCAGCAATCGATGCATGATGTGACACTCAATAAGAAGCTGTCACTACAAGTTGACAACAAAATGAACAAGCAAGCTGCCCATTCACCAATTTGAAAGGACCATCGAAGTATAATTTCATGTTTCTTAATATGCATATCCTCTTTAATTCTTTCCAGACCAATTTTCTGACAGGGGAGGGGCAGAGGGTGACATCCTTGGTTGCGACCCAATTCCTTGGTAATGGTAAAGGAATAAGACCTGTCTGGTCCTTATATTTTATCCCAAGTCTGAAAGGTACCCTCTGATTTTTTTTTGGAATGGTATTGAATCTATTCATGCTCTATGGCTCTTGGCCTACCCTGCAGAGGTGATGAACCACAACTTGGGTATATAGTGTCAGAGCTTATGACCTAGACCTTGACTCGACATAAAGCAATATTTTATAGGAATATGCCTAGGCTCAAATTAGGTGTAGTCTACGTAGGCCTACGCCTACCTCAGGCTTTGGAGGCCGATGCTTTTCTCAGCTTAAGTCTCGGCACCCGCAGATCCTAAGCCTCTATAAGGTCTAGTCCCATGCCAACGGAAGAGTTGCAAATGCCTGTAGATAGGCCAAGTTCTTAGAAGATTGGAGCATTAAGATTAGCTACTTATACTAGAATCCCTACTCCTACAAATAAGCCGAGCCGTGCCCAGCAACCCTGCTCCAGCCCACTTCCTTGCTTCACAACATCGCTATGGCAGAATGAGGAACGCGGAGTGGGCCTGAATGCGCTGTAAGAGAAAGAAGGAGAAGCGAAAAGAGAAAGAGAAAGAGAGGGGAGATTCGAGAGAGGAGTCTCTTGTAAAGCACTTTTCTCTTTTCTCCGTCGACCTAACCTACATTCTCTCTTTTTTCCTCCTCTTTCTCTCTTCCCTTCCCTCTTCTCTGACTAAGAGAAAGTGTTATCGCTCTCCCTCTCTCTTCTATAGTATGCAAGGGGTCGAGCCTGTCAGACTGACATTTTCCTTCATCTTACCCCTAAGCTACGGGCTTCATGCTTTTAGTATTGGTCCATTTGGAATTCCAATCTAGATTGCCATTGTAGTTTGGGGTAATATGAGAAAAAGGATTCCGTTTACTTGTGTTTCTTTTTGAATGAATTCGGTAGGTATCTAATGCACCGATTTAATGAAACAATTGGGCTTATTATGGAGCTACCGAATCGACAGTTCTTTTCACCTGAGTCCTATACTCTTGCAGATACTCGGATACAACTCTATCCAGAACCCTTCCTGTGCCGGAGTCAGATTAGAAAAAACACCTTACGAACAAGTGTGTCATAGTGGCTGAGACGTAATCAGTACAATTCGGCGATCAGATCTAGCCACTCGATTTTTGCCATCGGACATTTCTAATGGCGAGTTCGCTTAGAACATCCTTCGCGAAACTGTAGTTCCATGGTTCTCGTTTGGTGGGACGTTGTGACAGGACTGGGGGAAAAGTGCTCTTCATGCAATCGATACCAATCACCGTATGGAGATGGAGAAAAAGATCTCTGCGCGTCTCGCAGCCTTTCTCCTTGTTCATGAATTGAAAGGGGAGAAAGATGCGCGTCGTACGGGATCACTTGCGAACCTTGCCCTTTCTTCAAAAGGAATAAATGTTCTTCCTGGGCTTCATAGGCTTTGAAGATATGGAAATGCGGGACCAGTTAATGAATAAAGGGCTTGGCCTTGGCTACGCTAACAAGGGGTCTAACAGTCAGAACACACATAGGATTAGTCCCACTTCCAGGTTCATGAACCCCCATATACATTGCATCAGCCGGCTTTCAATCCATGTATCGATTTCACAATAAAGGGCTCGTTGTTGCTGATGAAAGATTAAGTTTGTTTTTTTCAAGCTCGAAAAATCTTCCAAATGTACTCGATTTTCAGGAAACCAGGAAGTTCCTTTTTTGCAGAGGAAAATTTGCTGACAGGAGAAATGCATTTTGTCCTGTCTGATCTTTGATCCTCGAAACGTTGAAACCTCGAATCCTTATTAGCGGACAGGAACATCCGTATCCTAAGGAATATAAGTTGTAATGCCGCCTGAGAACTCACACAATTTCTTTCAAGACTCCGACTTTAGACTAACGAAATGTATAAATGATAAACCGTGAGACAGCAATCCATGTATATGAAAAAAAATTGTTTCCTGGTGTCATGCGTTCCAGAGCGTTTTCATTCGCTTTCTGGTGGTCCTAGAAGCAAAAACTTTTTTTCAGGGCACGCATAATGTTGAACAAGTAAGCTTGCATATGGAACTTAAACTAATGTTGTCCTTTTATTTAGGAGGGGGGGAGGGGGGAAGATCCCAGATGCGTTCTTGTTGCTGTGCGGACCGAAAATTAGCATCGGGAGTTGAATGACTTCTCAACGTGTTCTTCCTCGAGTAGGAAGAAGGAAGAGTACTTTGAGAAGTCATTCAACCCCCCCTTTCAAATTGTTCCTGCTAGGATTTTTCCTCCTTTGAGCATCTCCAATCGAGAACGGAAGAGGGAAAGAGAACACGCCGAGGGCCCTAGAACCACATGGTATGGAATGGAATGGAAAGGATGAGAATCCGAGATGGAAAGGATCGCACCCTACTTGATTTAGAGAGAGAGAGAGAAAGAGAGACGGGAGAAGGGGGAAAGAAGAGAAAGAAATATAGACTCGGCGAAGCTGGAACGAAACTGCCGAAGGAAAAGGAAATGAAAGGGAGATGGTGGACCGTCCATCTCCGCAGCGATCAACGACGCTGGTAAATAAACTCGAAACCCGTCCAAAATACTTTATGGACTCTTTGCCTTCTTCGTATATTAGTAGTAATTCATACGTTAAAAACAAAAATATTGGGACCCTTGTGAGAAGAACCTTAAAGTCAAGACACAGACACGATTCCCCAGTCATTGCAACAGCTAGTTCTCAAATTCACTTTGTGGAAATAATCGAAGAAACTCGCTTCTTTGGCTGGGTAATCTATTATTACTCCATCTACATTACAAGTAGATTGCTTGATTAACATCCGACCCACACCCTATGCTTTTCCATCCATTGGTTTCCATTTTCATTTTGCGTGTTTCATGATAAGCAAATGAAAGTCCAAAACCATTTGGTACAAAACATCTTATAGGATGAAGCGTGCAAGCAAGGAAACAGGATATGGGGGGGGGGGGGGGAAAGAATCGCTCACATGGAAATAAAGTTAATTGGCATGCCATCCCTGAGAAGCGATCACTATCATGCTCCATTCATGCAAGAGTTATTAACTCTCGCTCCAGTTCCGTCACCCCATGATTCGCTGAGAGCGTTCACATAACACTTGGAGGTAAATGTGTTTCAACGTCGAAAGTGGATCCTGGATGAAGACAGAACGAGCTTAGTAGTCTCTTGTCTCAGACTTGGACGATTTCTGGAAGTCCTCCCAGTACCTCCCTCCACAGCATTTTCCCAATCCTTTTTTTTTGTCGTCTTCTACGTCTCTGTGATAATTTTTTGTGTCATAATCAAACCGTGATCTCTTTTTTTTTTAATAAATAATTTTGTATTTTCATGGAAACGTCATGGAAGCACTTACGCCATGTAGCAACACGTGTCATTGGACATTTAACCCATTCGTGCATGAATGCAAAACAAAAATATGATTTTTTTTAACGTTTAAGGACGTACTCTGCCGTAGTAGTAGCATGTCCCATGGCTAGAAGGCCACATTGAATAGATTATGTGCCCTGGAGTATACTGCATGCACCAAAAGTTTCGAGGTATGTGTATCGTGGCTGAAAAACCATCATCTTAGCCAAAATCATTGCCGTCCGCTGCAGTGGACATCAATGCACAAAAGGGTTAATAGAAGTTTTAGGTTACATTATGCTTCCGAAGTTATGTGAATATGGATGGAAGAGCTGGGGTTGGGAAAGTAAGGAGCGTCCGAAGCATTTCCTCCAATGCTAAAGCAACCCATCAACCACACTACAGTACCGTACATTCCATCAATGCTCGATATGGTCGGGTTTTTTTTCTGAGGGTAGAGATGGTTGGAAATAGGTCCTCTTTATAATGCTCCTCCTCCCACCCCCACCCCAAGGCAGCAGGTAAAAAGCATGAACTATTTTCACGTGGAACCTCCACTATATTGCGTCTTTCCTCGCATTTGCTTCGATTGAAGTTCTCATCCAGACTGCAGTAACAAAAATTCAGTGACTGAAGCTTTCAATCATTCCAACAACCTGCACTGGTTGTAAATAGTCGGAGTGTGGGAGATTGTGGGAGTGGACGAAACCCTAATACGCCTACCATGAAGAACGGATACATGAATGTGCTTTCTCATTGGCAAATCTCCATGTTCATGCGAAAATTCGTTTGCCCTTTCCATTCCATTCCGATCTGATATCCCAGATGAATATTCTTTGTCTCATCAATATTCTTTGGGTGAGTGCTTCCCGGCACCCTCTTTAAAACT